GATTGTAACGAATATGGAGACAGACTTTATACATTATACACGAGAGAAGCTATAAACTCTGTATAAAAACAGGAAGGAAGCTTGTCATATGTAAAATAGGTAGAGTTTATATCAAGTTCCATATTTCTAATCTTATATTTAATTTATAAATTTCCAATAAAAATTTGACTGCAATTTTTCAACAGTCATCTTTAAAATTAGATTTTTGTAATTAGAAAAACTTTAAGCTATAAAATTCTGTCAAAATATAATCTAGTTAAATTTAGATTGTGAATATATAAACTTGATAAAAATACGAACCTATATATTATATATCTTTCTGCAACTTATTTATAAAAATTCGTAAAAGTTCTTAACACATTTCCCGTTATTACTATATTTATAATTAAATTATTAATTCTGTACAATAATATTTTCTGTAAATCTCAATTTTAACAAGTTCAATAAAAAATAAAAAATATGATGTGCATATCTAGGGCGTTATCATTGCTGACGTAACTGGTATTAATCAATGAATGCACGGCAAATAAATATTTGGAAACCGATAGCAAATGTACGCCAATTTGTCCCAAATCAGGTATTATATTTCGTGGACTGCAGTTCTAAAAATATCTATATTTTTTTGGAGACAGGGTAGAAACGCGTAGTGGTGTAAGGCCTTTGCTTCCGTCAATTTTTACGCAACATCGGAAATCGAACCCATCGAAATTATACCGGTTTTAATATCCGTCTTGCTAAACTTTTGACGTTCTGGCACTTTTGTCTGTCCACTTCGGCCTATTTTGACCACGCTACTTTATCGTGGACGCTCGCCTTTTATCATTTTGCGCCCGAAGCGATGGTAATTGCTTGAATTTCCGTGGTCCTCCAGCGCGGCTGAAGATCGCCGAGCTAGGCATCGCGAGCGGAGACAAGCGTTTAATTTACCTGGACCAAGTTCGCGCGCCAAGTCCTTGTCGCAGTCCGTGGCGCCGAATGAAATTGCGAAAGTTGTTCGTCTAGAACGACAATGGCGCAAACGAGGTGTGAAGCGAGGCTATGAAATATAACTGCACGACGACGACGACGTCGACAACGATGACGACATTCCTACCCGCCCGGAGGCCTCTCCGGAGGCGACTTTTTACACCGTACGTCCATGTAACATTCCAATGATCAATATATGTCGCTATTCCCCATGTGTGCGAGATCGATGTGTACACATCGATATATGCTCGAGAGAGGGAGAAGGGCTTTACTTGCGGGACGCGCGAACACCATCGTCGACGGCGTCGGCCGACTTGGGCCGAGTTATGAATAATGCATGCGATAAATTTGCGTCGCACGCATGCAAGCGCGCCGGTGTAATTCCATTAGTTGTACCGTTTTATCGCCCGATACCGTGGATTCAATTGAGTAACTCCTTTCACGCCGCCAAGTACCATTCCATTATTTCCTACGACCGCCCTGCGCCACGACAAGTCGCAGGGTGTGCGGTACGTGATCCCGATACTTCTCGCGCACGATAAATGTCGTGTGGCATGTTAACTAGTTCATTAATGTCCACAGTTTATTTTTCTGACAGATACGGCATTCTGTTAATAAGTGATATCAATGAAATAATCAACCGATTATTTATCATTAAAATTCTAGAAAAGCACAAACAATAATTTCTCAGGTTTGCAATTTCTTATATAAAAACTTTCATATAGATATATTATATAAACAAATTTTATATAAATATTTTTATATAAAAATCAGAAATTGTTGATATGCGCGCTTTCATGGATATACAAAAATATAGAAAATATATTTCACTTTGTAAAAAGAATTAACATTCTCTACGTTTGTAAAATTATATATAAACAATAGATATTTGTTCTGTCGCAAATAAAAACAAATTCTATTTCTATGAGTTTTGAAATTAATTTTGGCAATTAACTCAAAATAATAAACACAAAAATAAACAATTCTAGCAATATTTCAGTTTCCGGAAAAAAGTTTTCCATAAAAGTTATTGACGTCATAGTGTCATAGTGTCTCTTTGTCAGAAGTGTATAAATAAAAAAGATAATTACATTCTCTTTGTATGAACAGTGCTTTAGCATGACAAAATTAATGAAATTAAATTATGTATAATAATGATTTATTTTTTCATAACTTTAATTAATGTGTTAGTATTTTCTTGCGTTGCAATTATTTTTAATATTATTTATCATAAATATTAATAAATATTACTTTTAATTATTTAATGAAAGATTTTAATTACATATTAATAAAAAAAATATATTTGAAAAAAGGCGACTTATGTGTCACATTCGTTATATTTAATTTCATTTAATTAAGATACACACGCAATTTATAAAAAAAATAAATCTTTCAAATTTGTCATTATTAAAGAAGAGATACATTTTTAATTATATTATATAATATACAAAAAAAATATTTTTCTTCATTAAAAAATAAATAATCTGATATATAAAATCATGTAATAATGAATAATTATTTGAGAAAACGAAATTAGAAAAATATTATAAAAATAATATATAAAAGTACATAATAATAATAAATACATAAATTTTGAAAAATAGTATTATAGAATATTATAGAATATTCTGTAAAAAATATTTTTAAAAATATAATAAAATATGACTTATTATATTTTTTCAAACAACACTGTGTATGTTTAGTAAGCACCAATCTATTCTACAAATAAAATAAAGAAAATAATTTACCATGAATACGCGTTAAATTCATTCAAATAGTGAATCTTTTCGTGTCTATATATTATATATTATTAGTATATTTTTATAATTGATAATAATTAATGTCCTTTACATAATATGTGTCCTTTACGTAATATGTGCAATAATGTAGTGTTATCTCATTATCTTTATTTGTGTCGTAATTTAACCATCTCTTCCTTCCTTTGTGGGACGATTCATTAATCATTTTAATTAATCGACGAAACGGCAAGAACTATATACATATGATACTTATAATATATACTTCCACATTTTTAGTTTATATAACACATACAGAAGCACTAATCATCTTTCTAACATTATCCAATATATCAAATATCAGTAACAATTAAATAACATTTTAAAATTATGTAATTTAAAATAATTGTAAACATTTTCTATTATATATTCGATGTGTCAAAGTTACATTTCAATATAATAATTTATTCATTTCTTTTATTTATTTGCTGCAAATATAATAATAGATGTATTTACTTATATGTGATAAGTTATATTATATATAAATCTTGCAATATGTATCCAATATATGAAATGTTTAAATTAATTATATATTTTCATTATAAATAATTACATGTATGTAACTTAATAGATAAATAATTGAATATTCCCTATCAACGTAATTGTAAATCTAATCTCTTTTACTATTTAATTCAAAAGTCTAAATTGACTTGCTTTATCACTAATTGATTCCAATTTCCAACCTATAATATATTTTATACATTATAGACATTTCTCCTAATTAAAAGTAATTGTGTAATATAAATATGTATATATTATTATATTAATATTAATTTCTTCTCTTAGACATTTCTATAAATTTCGAGTAGCTTATTATATTCCTTTTATTCTTGATTTCATTTCATGAGCATTTCTGTATTTCATTTTAAGAAACTTGTTAGATACTTCTTAATTATTTGCTGATAACTTCTTCTTGCTTCAAATATTTTATATTTTCATTACTGTATCCGCGCGTTTTTATTTATCTGAAATAGAAGTTTTATCTCAACTATTTATATTGGCAATGAAAGAATATATGAAACAATTTAATACTTATATGTGAAATATCTCTTCATGTGTTCAATGTACACTGAAAACTTTTCATCACACACACAGTGGAAAATTTATTCTTACATTCCAATTAAGTTTATATTATTAATTTTATTATTTTACGAAAGATATTTTTTATTATTTCAAGAGAAATTGTAGCTTTCACACAAATAGAAAATTCTTGTTCCCACATATTATTATTTATCACTAATAATAAATTTTATTTAAACATATGCATAAATAATTGTTTCACGAAAAAGACCTTAAATCATTACGTATTTCTCCCTTATGTCGTAATTTTTATCATTTCTAGATGTTCATCTATCATCAACAAAATTTCAATTATAAATCATTTTCCATTTTCAGTTTACATCGACCGTACATAGTAAAGGAATTGTACGGGTATCACAGGCAAACAGCAAACAATCGACTTCCTCTGCGTTTACGAAGCGCAAACATGAGCTATAAATCTCTACATTTCTTTCCCCTACTCCTCTTTCTCTCTCTTCCTCTCTCTCTCTCTCTCTCTCTTGCTTTTTGACTAGAACAGCAGTCGTAAATCTCTCTTCCTTTCTGAACAGCAAATGTCGCGTTGCAATTAACGTAATTAAACTGAATCTTAATTTTCGTGGACGATAGTAAATGAGATTTTATCTGCATCGTGAAATACCGCTTCGCCGTTTTATATATGTAAATACATATATATCTATCTCTTTTTATATTTAAAAAAAACCTAAACCTAAATTCTTTTTTATATTCTCCTCTTATCATTATTATTTTTGTATCAATTTCTTTTTTTTTTTTTGTAATTAATATTGCAAATATTTATATTCAAGTACGCGAGGAAAGAGATTGTATGTTCAAATTAATTTCAATCACTAACAATAATTAAAAATTGATTGTTTTAAAAATTGGTTGCTTGGTTGCTTTAGCATGTTTATAATGTTCAACGATGCAATTATCAAAGCAAACAATTTTATGCACCGTTTTTAATAATTAATAACGAGTTACAACGAGATTGCAATTGTGCACCAACACGGATGCATTAATAATTCCAAGATAGTAGTCTCTTTTTTTCTTTATGACGCAGAATATTTCCTCACGATTTCCCTACGGTCGTCTAATGTCGCAAGTGCACGCCACGGATCATCCTCCTTCGAGTTACGACGGGATCATGCAAAGATGATTAGAAAGTAGCAAAGTGATTACCTTCTGTGCACATAAAGAGTATGGCAGCAATCGAGAGCCTCGCTTGCCATCTCAGAGCCATTTCCGCGACTATATCTTTGAGAGACGTTTACACTTGAATTACTAAAATCATTCACATCTTCCACCCGTGATCGCTATTACCACCATTCACTGACATGGCACTGACCAGGAGGCGTCTTATCACTCGTCTCTTTCTGATCCTTACACGTTAATTAACACACACAGTTCACAGTCGCGTCCAAAGGTTTTCAAAGGGAAATGAGAGCCGATACTTATTCACGGTTAGTTTGAGATATCAATTCGTTCGCCGCGAGTTCAACCGAAAGGGGAATGAATTAGCGCGACGGCTGGCAGTTTGGTCGGATCTCCCATAAGATGCGGCCCGATCGTGCATACGATCGATCTTCCGCAAAGTGGTATCTCCTATATAACGACTAGGTAGACGATAACACGCGCGGAAATGATTATGGCAAAACTTTCGACGGGCGGCGTGCCGCGTATCCTGCGAAACTTTCCACCTATATCGTCGGATAAAGTCTTCACCCCGTCGTGTTTCTCGACGCGACTCGGTAGAGTTTGAATCTTGTCTTGGGTTCCGGAAGAAACCTGTAAACTCTCGTTGCAGTTGCCCCGAGGAATTTCCGCTCTACGCGTTACACTTGCGAAGATTCGAAAAACTTGCTTCTCCTGTTCGCGATTATCGAACCGAGTCCCTTCACAGGACGGTCCCAGCTTCCGTCGCGCGAACGCGCGAGGCTCTCATCGTTGCGCGGAGAATCCTGCGAATGAAAAATCGTTGCGATCTCGTAAGACACATAATCAGAACTATCTCGAGCTGCTTTCGGCCGAAGCGACGGGATCTTGGCGATCGACGCCGCGCGTTGGAGCGATCGATCGATCGCGCGCCACTTGACAGTCGAGAATTATTCCGGAAACGCAGTCTCTTCTTCACCCTCGCTCCGTCGCACCGCTCGAAATTGTTCGAACCGAAGTGGTCGTGGTCGCAGGAGAGTTCTCCGTTCACCGCATAACGACATCCGTTTATCGACACCCTTCTTTTTTTACATCAAAGCACTCTTTAATAATTTGTCGATCGAAGAACGTTTGTCGGATCATGCGGTCTCCTGAGCTTCTTTTTTATTTCTGTTTCTCGGCCTCCCTCTGCGCTCCGACTTTACGTTTCGATAAACAACTCGGAAATCCAACCGTCGCGGTTTTCCATGTCGATACTTGGTCTCGCGGGCTGTTATACGCGGCGCTATTTTAAGAAATCGTCACGGGGATCGTTCGCGTACGCGACATTGTATATAGCATAACGGCACGCACGCACGTCTTGTTTCGGTGGCAGATTTAACCTGACTGGGGAGATTCTCGGCCGTGGGAGCATGCGCGTTTCCGATCCACCCCCTGTGACGATGGAAGCGCGCAGAGGGTCCGCGGATGCACACACACACACACATAAAGATTCACACCGATTCACATATATTCTCCCTCTCTTTCCACGAGGAAGTACGTCGACACACAAACATTCGTCTAGGAGGGTGTACGCACACTTACACACTTATATGTGTATGCGTGTGTGTAAAGGAAACCTCTCCTTTTCTCTCTCTCTCTCTCTCTTCTTCCTCATCATTTCTCTCTCCCTCCTTCCTTCCCCCCCCTCTCTCTCTCTCTCTCCCTTCTCACCCTTTCTTCTTATCCTCAGGACGTACAGGACTGTGTGTCACGGACAGAAACTGTGGCAAGGCGTGCAAGGAGTGCAGAATCAAGGTACGAAATCTACGGTACTCTTAGAGACATTGTGATGGGCTTAAAGATTTACTCGCGTCTCCACGTACTTGTCAATCCAATATCACGAATATGGCGGATCTCTGACTGTCAGGTTTCTAGATTTCTCTTTTTCAGAGAAAATGTAAATCTGACTACCTAAAGCAAAACGCTAGCACAAAATTATGACGTACGAATAATTTTCAATATTGTAGTAATCGTTTTTTCTTTTAATCTAATTTTTCGAATTCAATTTTTATTCGCAATTTTTTCCACAGTTTATTTAGACTCTTCTGAAATACTTACAAGCTCCGAAGATTCGAAACTATCTTGATTCGGGAATACGACACTCCAGGAACGTAATACGAATTCTCGACTAGTTCGATTAAAAGTTAAAGGAATACGAACCATAAAAGAAATTGTAAGAGAATAATTGTGAAGAAAACGTTTTAGGAATACAAATATATTGTAAAAGTTGCGAAGTATACTTAAAAAGCCATGTGCAATACGTGTAGATCCTATCGCAGATCATGAAGACACAAATGTCGATATACGAAAAATATATCTTCTGTATTTTTTTTTTATTATTTATATTATATGTGTGTGTGTGTGTAACTGATATACATTTCATTCTATTATTATCAAACAAATATTGTTATTTAATAATTTCATATTTCATATTTTATATCTATGCGATATATAAAATAATATTTTAAAGAAGGTACCCATTTGAATTGAATAAAAACACACTCTAGAGCACATTCTTTAAATAAAATAAAATGAATATTTTAATCATTATGAATTAAAAACCTTGATTTTATCAAAGTTAAAGCTAATTTTCAGTTTTGTTAATACGTTACATATGATTTGCTTGCTTTTATTTATTGCACTTTCTAAACAAAAGCTTGTGTAGCCAATAAAATGTCCTAGATAATGAAATACTGATGGAATATCATTGATAAAATATTTGTTTTGCAAAAAGCATAATGCTACGCGCAAAAGTATTGGTGAAACTAATCATACTATCAGAGATCCAATTGATACAGGCAGGTATGTCAGCCACAAAGTATGTCAACGGTGCATGAACTTTTTGCACGAAAGTGTTATTGGTAATTTTGAAAATTGCTCGTATTTTTATTTCGCTGACTATATCGACCTGCAGTCGTGACGGGCGTTATTTTTGCGTGGTGAAGCCATGTTGAAAAAACCGGCATAAATTTTTATTACAAAAAGATTATATAATGAAAATATGTATGATTTATGGAAATACGTATGATTTAAATTAAGACAAAAGATATTCTCTAATCGTTTATTCTAAGACATTAATTAATTCGTGCATGTGTCAAAATTAATTAATGTCGAATCTTTAAGTAACAACTTAATCAAAATATCAGGTTTTTCTATTTCAGGTTTTTATTATTAAATTTTATAAAAATTCTTATAAAATTAAAAATTTTTATAAAAATTTTTATAAAAATTCAAGAGTTGCTGATACCAACAATAACAAATATTTCTTAATTCAAAAAAATACGCAATTTAAAAAAAAAATATAATAAAATATATTAAATGGGCACACTATATTTTTACCATATTTTCTATTTTAAAATAAAAACACAATAAAATCTACAACAATTGTACGGATAAGCATATTAGCGGACAAATTTCTCGTTTTATCTATTGAGTAGAAATACAGATTTACTATCTAAACGCTAAAGTGCAAATCCAACATTTGTTTATATGAAAAGTGCATCCGCGTAAATTTGCCGTGATTCAAAACTTTTAACCGGTTTACTGCATCACGACAAAATGGAAGTAAATATTGCGGGAGATTTTCCTACCCCGTTATTCGACGCGACTTAACACGAGCGAACTGGAGAGGGGGGGAAACGGGAGGATGGACCATACATTGAAAATACTTCATCGTTTGATTTACGTTTGTATGTATCATCGCTTTTAAGCTGCCAGCAGTAATCAGCCGAACACAGCAGGCCACCATTTCCCTCGATAGCGCTTTTTCACGGTGGAAACGCGGTAAAACTTTTACTTCCGTTCAGCGCGGATGGAAATTCTGTCATTCCGAATCCCGTGTGTAACAACCGTTAGTATTCCCACAATCGTGGACAGATTTTTATGTCATTTGTAAGATATATAAACATATGTCTTTAACGTCACTTAATATTTTTATGTCGATTTATATACATATTTTAAAAGTTATCACTTAAAAAAAATTTCACATGTCAGTTTTTTTATTAAAAGAATAAATATTATGAATTATTAAAAGAATAAATTATTAAAAGAATAAATATAATGAATATATAACATGCAAAAAAATGACCGCTTACCTAAGGAAAACTAATAAATTTATTTTTCTTTCTATTGCGGTTTTCTATTTATTAATATAGATTCTTTAAATGAGAAATGATAAATAGGAAATGACAATAAATTCTCTTGTTACTTTGGTCACGTATATTTAACAATAATTTGAATTTTATAATTATTGTATCCAAGAATTTCGGGAAGAAATATAGAATATTAGTCTGCTTAATTAATAAATAAATGAGAGAGGGAGAGAGAGGGGGGAAAGAAAGAGAGAGAATTTAATACTGAAAGAGTTAACTGCGCAATGGATCACCCGTTCTTCGCTTTAGTGTGTCTTGTTTATGGCTTGGTCTTCCGGCCCATCGCAGTTAGTCGTGTTCGGGATGGTGCATAATGCATAATGAATGTGTATAGATCGGCAACATTTCTAGAACCTTAGTAAATATTTGGACATCCATGATAAGGTCAGCACACGGAGACGTTAAATATTAACTCAAGTCTTTATTTTGTATGCCGACATGTCGACATGGATACTTGATGTTCCAGAATCTAAACGATCATGCAATATAGGTCAGTGATTGGAATGCTGGGATGAGTTTGCGTAAAATTATAGGATATATTGAGGCGAAAAAAATATGTAACATTTGCCTAAGTAAAGTACACTGATATTATAATTCTCGTACGACAAATAATCTACGATGCATGTTTTCATTATTATGCTCGTTAAAAGTTTTTGTCAGTTCTCTAATCAAGCTTGCAAAATAATTACAAAATAAAGACACAATCTCAAGTAATTGCGATATATATAATTTTTAATACAGTTTAATATTTTTTTTGTCACATTAATCAGGCTTATGCAAATAACTTAATTCTCATCTCTATGCATATATTTATCTACATAAAATATGCTTCAACGATCGCAATTCGTCATTTTTGAAATATATCACAGATAAAAAAATTATGTTAATTTCCTGATAAAAACACAATGTTAACGATTATTCGAAATTTTTTTCTCAAACACCATTTACAAAGTGATATATTTTATTTAGCTCGACATGCGCTAATGAAGAAAGCGTACGTAATCAAAGCGAGATTTATATCGGGGGCCATTTGGCGAGCGAATCGACGCCCTCAATTTGCCGTCATTATCGGTAAATAATTAAACGTTTGCACACTACGGAGGGTTGACGCATAGTGCGACCGCGCGGCTGGCAGGCATATTTTCGTTCGTTGGCCGGTCGTTTGCGTTGGTCATAAAGGCAGAACAGAGCGCGCGCCCCATTAATTTCTCTCTATTTCTCTTCCTCTCATCAGATTGTGCGCTCGCCGCGAATTCAATTCGCGAAGACGGGGCTGCGACGCGATACGCATCGCGACGTGTATCGGATGTGAGCTCGTTCCATCGACGCTGATCGCGCGAAGGCGTAACTCGTGGAGGCAAACGTGTGCTCGAAAAATGAATTTAAAAAAAAAAAGAAAAAAGGGAGAATGTCCCGCCTCGCGATGACGTACAGACCTTCCATCCTCCGCCTCCACCTCGGCAGGGTTATAAATAACGTCTCGCGTGACGGGCCCGTACCTTGGCTGGCGGGACCATTCATCAGCCGCGCCTCGCACGTGAACGCTCTGATAACGACTCGACTCGGCGTGGCGCGATCGTTTTACCTGAAAGACACGCCGATCGACGAATATCCGTCTGCCGTCGCCACGCGACGCGATTCCGCGCGCGATCTTTCAACGCCCGGGTCATTTGGCGCGGATCAGCTGATAGCGCGACACTAGGTAAACCAGCCTCGTCGCCGTTAAGATAGCGACGCGAGTGCGTTTCATCCCCGGGAGATGAATGATGATGATCGCTCCCGACGATCTTGCTCTTGATTTCTGCTTCTCCATCGTTGCATCATCGTGATTCTTCTTCTTGATCATGACCGACTCTCTTTAATCACGCTTTCTCCGAGTTTCAGTCCTTCTTTCTTTTTTCTGTAATATCTCGATCGAGAAATTGCGATTAACTCGAATTAGTAATGTATGATTTCAATTTTTTTATTCGGTAATTCTCCTATCTGGCATGTTAAAGTGCACGATAGAATATTTGAAGTCTGCCTTTTATGCTACGATCTTATTTAAGAGAGATTTATCACGTACGTTGTATCTACAAAAATTTTGTTAATTAAATCTTTCACCCAAAAATATCAATTCGTAAGGCGTTATATTTGTAGAAAAATTACAAAAGTAAAAGAGTTAGATTATATTTGACTCAACATTGTTATAAGAAAAAGTACATATATAATATTATACGTAAAAAAATAATATATTAAAAAAAGATTGTTTTAAAAAATTGATAATTACTTTTAATTATTATGATAGATAAATCATCTAGAGTATTATGAGATTTAATTAGAGTTTCGTAAAGGACAAAGTGTTAGATATTCCAAACTATATGGAAGACATTGTTTCTGATAGTATTACCGTGTGTCGAA